CGCGCCCCTCGCCGGGACGGCTCCCTGCTCTCCTGCCCATATCTGGTCATTGAGGGGCCCCTGAAACCCCGACCCTCCGGCGGCTGCCAGCAGAGTTCCATTTGGCCTGTGACACTTAAAAATATCTGTCCCTGGCACACAGAGTCCAACACCTGCTGACATGCCACCGCCTCCCTCGGCCGAGTGCAGAAAGCGCGTCAGCTGACCCAGAGCACAGTGCTGCCTGGCGATGCCCGCTCTGAGCTTGGCGCCAGCAAGGGCGAAGGCTGCGGGAGCCGCTCCTGGCCGGCCCGGGAGGGCACAGCGAGAGCACATGCCGGCGGCGTGCAGCTGTCCCTGCCCTCCGCGCCCGCGGCTGCCGCTAGCACAGCGCCAAGGCGGCAGCTGGTGGCGGGCGCTGCCCTCGCGGACGGACGCGACAACTGGCCGTGTGACCTGGGTCCGTGCGCTCCCAGCCTTCTCCTCGGGGGGCCTGGGGTCGTGCGCCCGCCCGCATGGACCCCGTGTCCGAGGAGGGGGCAACCCGCCTGGCTCCCTGGGGGCCTCCGAAGGGGGGGCTGAGAAGTGGGGGTGGTGTGAGGGGGCCCCTGGGGCTCACCAGAGCCAGGCCCTCTCGGCCTGGGCCAGAGCCTCACGGGAAAGGGGGACAGGGTCAGGGGCCCCGCACACGCCTTGGGCAGAGGGCAGCGCCAAGCCCCAAAGGAATGCCAGCCGGCAGGGGAAAGGGCAGTTTCTGGGCTTCGCTTTAAGACTCCCGAAGACGGGTGGAGCGGGTGGAGGAGCAGCCGCAGCTGTGCGGCCTGGGCCCCTGTCACCTCGCTGTGTTTGGAGATGCCCATGACAACAAGGTCAAAACACACCGAGAAAGAGGGTTCGGCAGAGGCCCGAAGCGCTGAACCCTCCCCTGGCTCCTGATCTGTGCGAAGTGAGGCCGCAGGCTGGCGCCGCCCGCCCGCTGGAGACAGCCCGAGCACATTCTTGTATAAACTGGCCATGTAAAAATACCCCGCCGAGCCCCTGTGACCCTCTGGGCCACCCCAGGAAAGAATGCGGCCAGTAACATCATCTCTGGGGGCCGGTGGCCCCTCGGCCAGCAGGAGCAGGGTCGCCGCCCGCCCCGGAGGCCGCTTTTGCTTCTAAACGTGCGGAAGAAGGTGTGGGCAGGTAGAGGCACTGTCGGGCACCCAGTCAAGAACAGAGTGCCCAGGGGGAGAAGACCCAGCCCCAAAGGGCCCAGAGGCAGGTCCCTCACGGCACGGAGGTCATGGCAGCCCGTCTGTCTCCTGGGGGCCGCGAGGGTCACGCAGACTAGGGCAAGTGCACCTGCCGGTTTATTATTAGAAGGCAAGTGTCAGGGAAAGAAGATGAGCCCAGCCGCCCGGCCCGCTGGCACTGGCTGGCACCCGCCCCCCACCCCAGCTCAATTACCCTCTCTGCCACAGCTCAAACCCCCGTGTCCTCTCTGCCTGGACATGCCTGCCGTCCAGAGAGCCAAGAATGTGCTGGCCAGCCCAGCAGGCGTGAAGCACCACCTCGCAGGGGTGGCCAGGCCCCCTGGGGCTGACAGCCTTATGTGGGGAGGTCCCCAGGGTCGTGGGCAGCACCACCCTAGTTAAGAGCCAGAAGCCGACAGCTCCTGGTGTAACCACGGGTTCCTCGTGACCCAAAATCATTTGCAGGAGAAAGTGTGCCAATGGCCACGGGGCCTGGTCTGCGGCGCGGGGCACAGTCCTGGGGGCCAGAATTGGTGGCCCAGGTCTCTACCTCTCAGGCCTCACTCCCCCATCCCTCGGGTACCCCAGCACATTGTCTGAAAATGGCCGGTCACCGGCTGGACTGGGCCTTCTCTCCTCAGTCCACTCCGGTTCCCGAGGGCGACCAGCACGAGAGCAGTGGCCCCGGCCAGGGCTCCAGCCCGCCTCGTCTCTTCCTGCGAACTGACCCTTCCCTGCTCGTGGCCAAGTGGCTCGGGAAGTGACACGGCAAGCAGCCCCCCCGCAGGGGCCCGACGTGCCGTGCACCCTCACCCCGCGGAGCCTACGGCGGGCCGGACAGTGACTCCTGCGCGTGCGGAGAAGCCACTCGTGGCCGTTACGTTTTCGTTCACGTCACTCGAGCGCTGCGGCCCGTGGCGGGCGGCCGGCCTCTTCCTCGGCCCGCAGCGGTCAGTGCCAGCTTCTCTGTGCCTGCGGCGAAGCCCGCTCGGAAGCGTGTCTCTCGGGGGCGGCGGCAGAGGGGAGGCAGGCGCGTGGGGCGGCGGGCGC